GATGGACAGGGTAAATATTAAATAAATATAGTCTTGGAATTAGTTAACACCGGTGTTCGGTTGGCTCTCTGTTAGGCTCCTTCTCTCGCAGGATACGAACCGTCACGGATGGTATGTGTCGATTTATGTTGTACACGTAACCCCAAGGCTCAGACTGCTGTGACCGGTGAGAACAAGAAACAAAGAAAGTTAATCTATCACCCAGACACACAGAAAACGAATTCGTCCAGGTGGAGGGACCCATGATTAATATGTTCTAGAAGGAAGCTTCTTGTCGTGGTGGGCAGTATACCATATATCACGCGGACCCTTGCGCATAACGTCTGGTTAGCCTCATCTCATCTCCACGATGAGGGCTAGCCGCCAGCCCTACAGCAAATTCCCCATTTTAGGCCGATGAGCTGAGGTGGGCTTCAGTCAAAGGACCATGTAGGTCTAGGCGGTGAATAGGCACCACACATGAGACTGCTGTCGACAGCACCATGCAGCTAACTCAGCCGGCCGGGATGCGCTGCTCAGCCCGCTAGCCGTCTATGCCTTCCCCGGTTACCAAACCAGAATGAGCTGAGGGTGATTACACAGTCGCTGCTTATTATAGATACCAAACAAGCCAAGACCGTCATCTTGTGCAGTCTCGCCCAACGTAGGCCGAGTTTTTTTTTTCTGCACGCTAAATTAAAATGAAAGCTTGTCGCTGTTGTTTTTGGCCATGTAGTTACTCATGGCAATCAATATATGATGTCGTGAGATGTTGTTGTGCGGCCTCATTAGATGCGCGAGCCGCTGCGCCAACATCAAAATTCACAGCGCTTTGCGTTGCCATTTGTCTCGGGAATGTTGAGCGCTCCGAAGGGAATTTCGAATCATATCCTCCGGCTGCTGCTTGGTGGCAGATAGGCGGCAGATAGGTGGCAGAAGTCCTACAGGAAGCAGAATGTGGTTGCGTATAATCCCGCATTGTCAGTCGTATGAGTTTTGGACCAGAACGTGGGGCTGAATATACTGATGATTGGGCGGTGGTACGTGCTAAATCCATCACCGAGACCCCTGATTCCCGAAATGGCACACACAGTGAACCAAGATTCTTAGTCTCAGGGCTGTGACGCTGTGACGCGCTGAGACTGGAATTGTACAGCACCTGTAGTGGGTGGGACGTGGCTGTGCTTATGAGTCAGCCGTGCCAAAGTTGGGCTTGATATAAGTAATTGTAATGGTGATGCACACATTCCGTGGACTAAAGTGCCTAAAGTATGAGCACCTATTGGCGTAGGTATAGGGTCAGTATGAGATGAGAATCAGGCAAGCAGCACTTGAGGGGGGGATAAGTGATTCGGTATAGGCCTCCTTCCGATCATCTCGAGAGACAAGTATAGCAATACTGTATGTAGGTATAGTAGGTAGGTCATCACAAGACATGGCGCACCGACCGTACGCACACGCATTAGCTTGCTTGCGCCGTGGCGTACTACACGTATCACCTTGGCCAGCTCTCCGACGAGGGGGCTACTAGATAGTGCAGTAAACCAGTTGTTCCGCGATGACGGCCGCGAAAGATCTGCATTCCGTCCCTCGGTGGCCTCTGAATGATGTGATGGTTTCTGCAGCAGGCTTCCGAGCTCTAGTGGGCTGGTTTGAACTTTGTAGTGCGCCTAACCTAACGGTTATTGGCTTCGTCAGATTTACTTAGGCGCCATTCTTGTTCACTAGCCGGGTCGCCCGCAAGTATCAATGTAGGGAACCGTTTTGTGGCAGTACCGTATGTATAAAATGAATGAGGTGATAACCGATCCCGCCAGTGATCCTGAACCAAGGCCTTGACATCTCACCTGCGAGAATCTATAGACGAACTTGAAGACTCTCCAAGGTTGCTTTAAAGTGAGCATGCACAACAAAATAATACTAACAGTACATAGCTCCCTGATTTCGCACCTTGCCTAATGCGGAATGTGCCACGTGATGTAGGACAGGTACGATCTAGAGTTGACGTCACCGAGGAAGGCGATTGCCTAGATGTTTGCGCGGCTCTCCTCTCCTGCTACAACTACATCTTCAGGTATAAAGAATCAAACCTCGTCATTAAGGTAGCTCACGTACAGGCCACAATAACATCAAAATCTCTTATACGTCTATTCGTTCCATAAAAACACCTACTACTACCTACACCTAGGTACAAACCATTAACCAGAACAACCTGCAACATGCCTCTGGTCGTTCCCGGTATCACTGATAACTCGTCGGATCAGACGCAGCTGTGGACCAACAAGCTGGTTGGCAAGACTGTTTCCGATGACACGCACAGCGAGACGGTTAGTAGTATACGCTCGACCCTTTTGTTCTCTCGCTGCTCCACTTCTTCCATACAGCTCAGCTCGGCTAACACGTCTCTTTTGGCGTCCTGCAGAACTTTTGCAAGAAGGATCTGCCTCAGCAGTGCCGCGTAATTACACCAGGCATGATGGTCACCAAGGACTTCGTTCCCAACAGACTCAATGTCCACGTCAAGGACGACGGCACTGTCTCCCATGTCCAACACGGCTAGGCCGGTTTCGCTCCACATCCATATATAAGTCGCGAATTCTGTCCCTGTTGATGCGATGCGGCGATGCGGCGATGCGGCGATGCGGCGATACAGCAATGCGATCGTGATGCTGCGGGGAATTGTACCAACAGGGTTCATAATGGCTATAGTGGTTGCTACCTAGCTGTACGAATAATGAAAAAATGATGATTCCACAATAACGACTGATATGGATCACATCGCACATCTACACCTATGATAACTTGTATGCATGACATTCGATATTCAAATCTGCATCTAGCATCACACACCTATCCGTGGTCCTGAGCAGAAGTCCTAGAAGCCTGGGAGAAATTGGCATGATGACGGATCCTGTCAGGGAAATGCCATAGTGTTGTATTTGGTTGTAGAAGGGATGGAGCTCTACACTATGGCCACTGTGTACAGCGGGCTACTTATAGTGGGTAGGTCATGTGACAGATCCAGCTATACACAGTACGTACCTGAGGACAAAGGTCCTTGTGACGGATCCACTTTGCGGGGCAGCCCCTCGTCCTAATATGGACTGCAAATGCGTAACAATGCGGGGCAGTCCCTATTCAAACGCGTCGGCCACAGAACTGCCCCTCCAAACTTTCACAAGCTTCCAGAACACCGTACATACCACCAGCGACGATAACTGTCTCAGCCGTGGGACGCAGCAACCAAAATGTTTAAGAAAGAGTAAGTCGATTATTGGTGTTTCTGATTGCAGTCAATTATACAGTCGCGACCGCTCAATATCCTACCAATACCTTCAGATTGAGAATATCTTATACTTTATAACCCCGCCTGTCTCTTTGTCGCTCACCCAGAGGAGATTCAGACGATCAAGGCTAATGAATGCCCTCCACAATATGCAGGATACAGAGCGCCCCCAAGTCAAAACTAAAGTCGTCTGTCCAGCGAAATCTCCGACAATCGCTGTTACAAACATACCCGCTCCTAAGCGGCTACATCGATGAGATCCTCCCTAAGAAGGGCTCGCTCGAGTCTATGAAGCTGCCCGACCGATGTACGCTATACGTGTTAGACGGGGAGCCGTTATTCTTCCAGCAGGACATGACCACGCTACTACCACACCTTAAGCTCGTACACCGCTTCCCCGCCGCCTTCCCCAGCATACGCATCGATCGTGGCGCAATCCGCTTCGTGCTCTCGGGCGCAACACTCATGGCACCCGGCCTAACATCAGCCGGTGGACGACTCCCCAGCGGTGTCCTTACTGCTCGCACCGAAGATGGAGCAGGAGAGGGCTTGGATGAGGATGATAGGTGGACGAGGGAGCTGGAGAAGGGCGAACCTGTTATCGTGAGGGCCGAGGGGAAAACGGAGGCGTGCGCTGTGGGGTTCCTGGTAATGGGCACAAAGGAGGTAAAAGACAAAGGGAAAGGGCCCGTCATCGAGGATGCGCATTATCTAGGCGATGGGCTGTGGAGGTTGGGCACAGATTGATCGCTCGCTCGAACTCGTGTCTTAAACTGTTCGATATCTCTACGTCTGGTTCAACAGGCGCGCCTCAATCATGGCCGAGGATGGTTACGAAGGTTCACCCACCGTTGGATATGGCCCGTTCGTGGACACAGATCCTGCCTGGGCAAGGTGGGTGGAACGCTGGGGACGGTGGGAGAAACTACAACAACTATGTTCATGTCGTCGCCTCTCGTAATGTGTAATGAACTTGCACCATCATGATGCAAGGTAGAAATGCCACTTACGTACGAGAAAGACTGCACTAAATGGACAAAAGCAAAGCCCCAAAGACCCCCGAGACATTGGACCGTGCGATGTCCCCAGCCACAGACCTGAAGACCACTGATGATTCAGATCGCCTGTAAATCCTGGCTTCGGCGCAGAATACTACGTACTCTCTATCGCTAATATACATCACATCTTGGGACGCGTCCTCGACCACATTATGCTATATAATCAGAGAAACTAATCTATCTGTACTCCGTCACGTACACCTTTAAGTTGATCTGTAAATATTACAGTGTATGATATTTGCTTTTCCTTCTAAATAGTGCTATGACAATAAGAGCTATATACTCCGTTACTTTTAGTCATATTCCTATATAGCGACATCACCGAAGACTAGGTACCTAAGGTCTAGGCCATATCTTGTCACGAATATTACTAGACATGTATTTTGTGTATTGAACATGAGCAGTTGTTTTACGAGCAGCAATGAGAAAAGGTAGAAGGCCATCCCTTTCAAGGTTCCTTTCCTTAGGGACACAAAAGTGGAAAGGTGGAGAAGGGGGCCAAGTTATCCAATTAGAACCTAGGCATTGGGGTCTAAGCCCAAACGGGTGACCCGGTTATATGCATAGCCCCATCTTTCCACTTTTTAGTTGCGATGCGGACCCAGGCACACAGAGGTGCACAAGAACAAAAAGTCAACCTAAAAATGAAAAGGATGATATAAAAATATAAAAAAACACTCCGGTACGGGGAGTCGAACCCCGAGCTCCCCGGTGAAAGCGGGGTATGTTTAGACCGTTACACTATACCGGATACAAGGATATTGCAACATCCAGTATTAGCACTGGATGTGCTATTTTAACCAGTTGTTGGCATGTGAGGATCAATTATTAATTATATCGCACTTACTTATCCTCTCCACTAGGTCTATACCAACTCTACCAACAACGAGCGCTAACAAAATAATTTCCCCAGCCTACTAAGTAGCCTATTACGCATAAGAAGAGTTGTTTAAGTTATAATAAATTTAATTAATGAAAAGGAAAAAGAAAGGTCACACATAGATCTCTGGTAGAGCTAGAGATATTGTTAAGCAGGGACGTTGTCCCTCTAAGACAGCGTCCCTGCTTGATGAGGAAGGAATGGACAGACAAACAAGCAGTAGAAGATATTGAATCTCAAGTACAAAGACAAGGCTTTCTCCAATCTATCAATCCGTCTTCAATTCAGCCGATGAACCCTGCGCAACAAAGATTAGTTAAGGCGGTTGCCCAACCGCTGGTTAACGATCTTCAGTCCCACTTCAGACGAAGCAGACGAAGGGCCACGGCTATTGACGCCGTGACAACCTACTGATTTGTTGAAGAGCCGCTATCAGCCCAAGTATTAGAGGCAACGCAACCCCTTATACCTATGGAGCTCGGACTAGCCCCGGTAAACAAAGCTTCACAGTTACGAATTTCTGTTCTTATTAATCACATTGGTAAGAAGAAGCTACGACGGTGTTTTATTTGTATCGGCAAGGCTTTGACGTTGCCTGAGGACGCAAGCCTTCGAGCCTTATGCGGCATATTTTCTGCACCGACTGATACAGCGCGGCATTTGAAGAGTGTGCATCCGTCCAAGCTTAGCTCAGGCAGTAAGGTCGTCTACTCAGTCTGTATAATTGTCAAGCTTAAGCATGAGATAAATTTACAGAACCACGCTGAGTTAGTTAATGGCATTAGTAGCCCGGGTAAGGCTACCACATATAGGCACGTTTTAAGCAACAACAACGACTTTTGATTTAGCTAGGGCTTCTTATAGCCTACAAATATATCTAAAGCATGAAAACCTTTATTTGCAAAACGTGGTGCCCATTAACCATCATACTTTAGCTGAACTCTGAAGCAGCCTAAATGACTGCGTTAGATAATTGCATGTGGTAGTGGGCTGCCAAGAGGTACATGTTAGCTACAAATACCACAAAGATATATTAGAACCGCAAAGGTCCATCCATCCTTAAGCCAATCAACTTGAAAGAAGCCTTGCAGGACACAATGAAACTAAAAATACCCGATTGAACTTCGAGGAAACAGGCGCTTACGTTGATCACGAGTCACCTATCCCATGTCCAGTCTGGTTCAGCTGGAGAGAATTGTCGTACTGGGCACCGACAGCATCCATGATATTCACTGGGCAGCGAGGATCATTCGCAGATTTAGGAGATTTAACCCACAATGAAGATGGTTCGGTTGATGGACGTACAATTATAATAACAACCTCTATTTTTAGAAAACCTGTGGTTTTAGCAGAAGGTTTGCTTGAAACGTTGTATCTTAGTCAAGCGTAAACGTCAACAGAGAAATGGCATAGCCAATAGCCTTTTCCCCATAGAGGTTTCGAACCTCCAGCGTCCTTTATGACAGAATATGCCTCTAGGAAGCCTCCAGATGTTTGCAATGGCACAAAGCGTCACCATGGGGTTGGGTGGCTTTCGCCGGGGGAACCAATGAATGGGCCGGAGCCAGAATTTCGGTCAGGCCTTAGCCATAATCTCGACTGGGCTGTTGCTAGAGGATAGGGCTAAGCATGCTCGAGCGCGTATACCTACCGGTATTTCAACTAGGGGCCTAGATAACTATTTGTTAAATCCTCGCAGTATTAAAATAAGGATATGTAGATACGACTATTCCATGGTGTACCTCTTCTCTGTTTTTAGCCCATGGACGCCTTCTGTGTCACGAACCTAGTATACGGCAGGTATAGACTCTTGTTGTTGCACGAGGAATCTCAAGGCTACGTGAGGCTAACCTAGATACATATACAGGAGTCTCTTTGTCTCCATGCCTTGTGACATTCTGCGTGATTAAGTGTCACACGGACCAAGCCAGGTGCCTACGCCTGCCAGCCTTCCGTCCAGACATACAGCCTCCCGGCAAGACACGCAGCCTCAAGGAGCCGCAACCATTGGTCGGCGAGTATCACGGGACTAGTAAGAGTCATAGAAGCCTCGTATCGCGGACTGGATCTGAGACAGCCAAAAGAGGGGTATCGGATAGATGCCTGAGGCGCCAGCCTTCCGGCTGTCTATAAATATGAGGCGTAGGTCGAGGTTGCATTCAGGACTGGATTTGGAAGGCATGGACCCTTTAGACCCAAAGAGAATTATTAGTTGAATAGAACACTGTTCCAAGCCCTTATTACATAAGCCCTTGTCACATTAAGCAAATGCATCTTGTCATCAAGCGGGATTCGGCAGACGAGACAGACCGAGGTATCTTGCCCATCCAAACGACTCGTGTGGATTCTAAGGAAATGGTTCGCGGCAGCGTTTGGAGTAGGGAAGTCCCGGCAAAGGGCTTCGAAATTGAGGTTATTCGGCCCGAGGATCAACGCTTCAGCGACGCACACAAAGCATTTCTTCACTTTCCGCTTCCCCATGGTGCTCACGAACGTAGAACGCCGGAGCTGTTCTTCATCAACCTGTTTGCCGCGGCTCTCCGGCTCTTGGACGTCTTGGGCGCGGCGTGTCCGCGTCCTAGGACCCTGTAGTCCGGGCTCGAGCTTCTGCTTCACCCTGCACAAGTGATTCATCGAGGGCTCTTCTACCGTGCAATATGCGACCAGAACCTCAATTGTGCTTGTTGAATTATAGGTTATGAGACAGCTGTGGTAGATATATCATATATTCGTTAAGCATAAGGAACAGTTCTAAGTACAGTGCTGTGGAGTAGTACCCCCATTTATATGGACAGATGTGTGTGGGGCGAAGTACCCAGCCACCGGCTTTACCAGCCCCCTGATTTCAACAGTGCTTGTTCTGCGTACGCCGATAGCAGCAATATTGTCGGGAAGAGGCGTCGTTAAAGCATCGAACATTCGCTGTTGTGCCGTGCCCATCGGCTGCATATCACGATTGGGACCGGCCGACTCGTGTGCAAAACTCTCGCCTCGGATCTGTCGCTCGATGTTATCCGCGAACTGCGAACGGGCCCAGGCTTCTCTGACTCTCTTGATCTCGTTATTGCAGAGCTTCTTCCGAAGCCTGTCTCGTTCTAGCGTAATCTTTTAGCGTTGATCGCGAAATGTAGGCCCCGAACCTAGACTGGCCAGTTGAGTGGTGAGTTGATAGTATTTGGCGCTGCTTTCTAGGACTGCCCGCATCTACGCATGGGTGAGAGCTACTGGTTGACGACTGTTCTTCGAGTGACTATGGCTAGTTGCTTGTTTAAGTAGCGCCTGCTGCGGTTGATGGTTTCGATGAATAGCCCAGAGGTCGGCCACGATATTGCGGTTGAGGTAATGCTTCTGGAACGTTTCCGATTGAGGGGCGTGATCCATGATTAGGTTTCGTAACGCGTTGCTGATATTGATATTCTGGTTTAAGTTGTTCACTGTCACGATATAGACTGCAGCACCATACCGTAACACTACAAAAGGTAGAACGTTGTCAAGTCGAGCACTTGACCGTCTGTAGTGACTATACGCGTACTGGGCTTGTGACACTAGCTATGTACGATATAGTATTGTGATCGAACCCCAATAACACCCTAATTTTTTGATCTATTTATTTATTATATTATATCTAATTGGGGCATCCGAGATAGTATACTTAGTTATCGATTTAGCGGCGCGGCGGAAAATGAAAATATTGTTGAGTTCGGGCCGCAGGCAAAGGGGACACTCGTTGCTGCTTGGATGGATTCGTAGCCTATTTAATGAGCCGGACTAGCATTAAGGGTTTCGGTTTCGGGGGCCCAGTGGCGGTATAGGATAGCTAAGAGAAACACGTGGGGGCTAAGCAGTAGGCTCGGGTTGTATATGATTTTGGGTATTATGAAGTTCTTGTTAGGATATATTAGTATTGGCAAGGCAACCGGGCAGGTAAAGAAAAAAACCGCAACCCGGTAGGTACGGAAATGGGGGCAAATATATCGGTGTGGTAGACAAAAGCAATTACGTTGCTTTGGGCCCTAGGTACTGTTTGGTATACTTTAAGCTTGGCCGGATAGCTAGCTTTGGCGGCCTATCTGGGTTGGTCAGACTTTTTACTAAGAGTACTTTGATATTGCCGAACCGGAGTATTAGGATCGAAGTCGGGCGAAAGCCCTGAGGTTTTTTCAAAATTTCTTTTTACTAGTTCGCTGTCTGAGGTGTTAATGGAGAAATTGGTACACAACTTCGAATTGAATGGGGCGTAGGTGCAAAATATAATCCGTTCCTTTAGGGAACATTTTGGTGTAGAACTTACGAGTGTAAGCCTTAGTCCGTGAGGATAGGGGCGATGACCTACAAATACCAGGAGTTCTCGATAGCTTTAATTTGCATTTTAGTAGCTTGTGTGTTTGTAGTCCTTTGGTGGTAGAACTCTATAGGGTAGATGTTGCTATTGAACATCCATTTTTATTAGCTTCTTCGTTAGGTATAGCAACCCCGAGTTTATTTTTATGACACGGCCGGCAGCTCTTTGAGAGCAGCATTGTTCGTGGTAACATGAAAGTGGTTAATCTCCCTCGTCCCAGCGACATTATATTCGGAGGTGGCAACAGATTCGAGGTCTAATCCCTCTGAGTCTTCGACGCTTTGGAAATCGCCAAAGTTGGGGTTGAGTACATCATTAGAATATTCGCTCGAAGACTTATCAAGACTCTGTACATCATACTCGGAAGCTAGATCTGACCCTAAAGAATCTGACCCCGAAGAATCTGACGAGTAGGAAACATTATCTTCTAAGCTGTCCATTTTCAACCCAGTTTATGATGCTTTATATTTGGAAAGCTTTTTACTTGAGGAACAGTGAACTTAAGGAACCCAGGCCTTGAACTTTTCTA